ATGTAGAATAAAAGTCTGAGTTTGACTCAAGTTCAGTGTAGAGTATGATGCGAGCTCTTGCATGTCAACTGCCTTAAGTTGCTTGAATTTTTCTTGCATTGCAAGTTTCACCAATTTCTCTGCATGTCAACTGACAGCAGTGTACTTGTTAGGTTAATTCAGTGTAGGATAAGATGAGAACTGAACTGAATTTCTGAAACATGAAAAAAGCCAAGATAAGATAAGGATTTTGGTCTGAAACAGAGAGAGGCTTGGATATTCTTATCAAGGGGATGAGATGGGGAGAATTATTTTGTCCAGATGAAGATTGAAAGAGATAAAGTAATAAATTTCAAAGAACTATTGACATGAAAGATAGCTGAGGTGTGAGGATTCTTGACATGAGATAAGAGGACATAATTGAATAAGTAGATAGGGGATAAGGATATAAGAAATCTTTGAGAGGTCTGAGGTATATTGTATGTAGCATGTTGGTGACAGGGCTGAGAACAATGTGGGGAGGATTTCATGTACTGTGAAAGGGGTTTTGGTGATTACAGACGCCAATCCCCACCTGGCGTGCGGTTTGGCGTGCGCCAGGGGGGCTGGTGTGCGTTTATCAACGCCCCCCATCGAAAGTCCTTGGCTGGCAATTTACTGCTGGTCAATGGTGTTAGAGTCCCAACATACTTTTCTAATCCCCACACAAACTTCTTCATCCACTGTACTGTCCCAAGGAACTTTTTCACTCCTTTTGCCGATGATGGTGCCTTCCAATCCAGAACTTGAGCTATTTTTTCGTTATCTGCGCGTATACCCTCCGCTGAAATCCAATGACCTAAAAATTTGATTCTATCTCGGAACAGTTGGGTTTTCTTTGGACTGCAATAAAGATTGGCTGATCGTAGTCGTTCCAGGACACGCCGTACATGCTTTTCATGTTCTGGATACAATCCCAAGAAAATGACAATGTCGTCCAGGTAAACTACACAAATGTCGTTAATGAGTTCCCCGAGTGCTTCTTCCAAGCGTGCTTGATGAGTTGCTGGTGCATTGGTTAATCCCATGGGCATAACCACCCATTCCATCAGTCCCCAAGGAGTCTTGACGGCAGTGAGTGGTATATCCGCCTCCCGCATCCGTGTCTGGAAGAATGCATTGGTCTGGTCCAGTATTGAAAAAACTTTTCCGGTAGCCACCATACGAACTAGCTCATCAACATTTGGTAGTGGGGAGCGATCCTTCACTGTGAGACTATTGAGCATGCGGTAATCACATACCCATTGGGGTAGTGTGTCCGGGTCCTTTTTAGGTATTATCATACTGGGTGAGGCATACTGACTTGATGATCGTCAAATCCTGCCTGCTTCGATGTGTTGATCCAGTAGTTTGCGCCATGCTGCCATGTATTTCTGTGGGTAAGCGTATTGCCGTTCCTTGATCTGAGCGTCTGGATCGGTTAAGATAATCTTATGTCTGACTTTAGAGCCTTCTCCCTGCATCTTCTTTGGAAAAGACCCGTCCCTGAATGAGCCTTCCAATTCTGCCTCATCTGAAATTGCTGGTATGTCTACTGGAAAAGGTCTGAGAATTCTGCCAGGACAACCGTCTCTGATTGTCACACGGATAGTTGGTGGTACTTCTCGGATGTTGAACAGGGAGCACTTTTTTGTTGACATTGCATCCACAGCTCTGTAGTCTACTACACACAGCCCTGACCTAATGGGTGGCTATACATTGTTGGGAGATGGAAACGGAGAGGTTGAAAAGAGATAAAAAGGGGATTCCTAATATCATGTCGTAGTTTCCCGCGATGGGACCTAAGCTCAGCTCGACATTGTCAAATCGCAGTTGGGACCCCGTATCGGTGAATGTCGCTCGCGTAAATTGTTTAAGGATTAGTGGGGTCCGTGATGCATCATTAAGCGCTAGGCTGACTCGGGTCAGTACCGGGAGATCTAAAATTGGTAATCCTGCGTCTTGTACCACCCGATCATTGATTAGGTTGATCTCGGCCCCTGTATCAACCAATCCATGTAAGTAATGGTCTCCGACCTTAAGGCGGATGACAAGTCGCCTAGGAACAACGGGTGACACATACTCATCCTCTGCTGTTGATTGGAGTTCCTCGTCGATTGCGGCAAACACCGAGACGGAGGCTGCATCAAGATCGGGGCATATGTTGTGTTCGCCTATTTCAGCTACTGAAGCTGACCTGTTAGGAGGTCGGCCCGCCGGGGGCTGCGTTGGTTTCCCTGCAAGGGTCGAGGGCTGTCCCCTTGGTCTGGGGGGTTTGTAGTCGCTTGGTTTCGGTGGGACAACGAACGCCGGAGGGATTTCAATCGGTGATTTATCAATTGGACCAGCGCACTTACCTGGGGCACTGCCACACTGTTTCTTGCAGAAGTGGCATCTGCCCTGAGAGTCTAGGAACGCGTGAATACGCCAAACATATTCTTCTTTAGGTAGACTTTTTGGTTGCGATCCCGCGGTCAATGAGCTCGATGGAAGATAGGTTCTTGGTTGTAGCGTTATTGCATAGCGTTTAACGATACCGTCCCAGAACCCACTGGCTCTGTTCTCGAAGGTGCTGAACAGGAAGGGGTCCTGCAGGAGGGTTTGGTGGTTGTGTATTTCAGCCTGTAAAAGGTCATTTGATCCAAGTGTCATCGACTCGGCTAGATCGAAGTCGGATATCGCCTCCTTCTTGAGGTCGAAGTTAAGCATGCTCTGGAGTGTGCGCGAGAAATGACTCTGATTTAGTCATTCTGAGATCCTTGAATTTTCCCCGTAGAGTTGTACGCCAGTTGGGTGGCAATGCAAACGCGATGAGTTTGGTTCTGAACTCCGACCAGGGTTGGCCCAAAAACGTTTCGAATCCGCTGGCGTAGAAGGCGGTCGTGTTGGTTTCTCGGATGAGTCCCCCGATGACTTGGATCTTGTCATCGTCGTGCGTGACGCCCTTTGTGGCGAAAAAAATCTGAACGCTCCGTAACCAGGTGATGAATCGTTCGACATCCTGGAACGGTCCTGAAAACAGTGGGCCATCCGACGATCGAAAGCGTTGGAGGTCAATCCGGCCCGCCTCAATCCGAGTCGATGGGGTATCCGACTCGTTTTTGATCGCCATCCGGAGGATTGCTTCCTCTAGCTTTGCGATACGGTCTGCGTTGGCTTGGCGGAGTTCCCATTTGGATTTCAGGCTCTCCATGAGTGCAGAGCGATCGACGTTCGCTTGATCAATGCTCTGATGTTGTAACTGCATGATGCCTTTCAGGTACTCATCCAGCGTCAACGAGGTGCTGGATCGTTTGGTGTCGGTCTTGGGTGGGTCGCTAGCGCTAGCGGAGATTTCTGGCGCTTCCGACATCGTTGGAGATGGAGGAAGAGCCGGGAGGTTGACGAGATTCTGTTGATTGTCGGGGTTGGTCTGTCCAATAGCCTTTTCCAGTCGTTTTTGACGCCGACCGTCTTTCAGTATCGCTTCCGGATCAGAGAGGAGTGATAATCACACTCCACCCCCCTTCGCACACACACTCCAACACTCCCTTCTCTGAAGGGAGTGTGGGACCGCACTCCAATTGAAATTGGAGTGCGGGTCCGCACTCCAACCCTCTGCGCGGGCATTCCCCCAGCAGGTTGGCGTGCAGACCTGCACGCCAATTGTGATTGGAGTGCGGTCCCACACTCCCCTTCTGAGGGGAGTATGGGAGTGTGCATGTGTATACTTTATACATATGTAAATATTCCCTGGGCTATCCCATAGGACCCAGGCCTGGGTCTTATGGGATAGCCCAGGGCTTGAGCCGTTGAGGCCGTTGAAAAAAGAAAAGAAAAAGACCTGGGGCTCGCAGCCCCGAAAGATTGTACAGTCTTGGGGCCGGGAGGGGTTCCTCCCGGCCTTGAGATTGTACATGGCTCAAGGCCGAGAGGAATCCCTCTCGGCCTTGGAAATTTGTACCGACGAGAGGGTTTACAACCCATCTCGTTGGGAGGAATCCCTCCCAACGAGATGGGCTTAAGACCAGCTCATTGGGAGGGATTCCTCCCAACGAGATGGGTTGTAAACCCTCTCGTCGGTACAAATTTCCAAGGCCGAGAGGGATTCCTCTCGGCCTTGAGCCATGTACAATCTCAAGGCCGGGAGGAACCCCTCCCGGCTCCGAGACTGTACAATCTTTCGGGGCTGCGAGCCTCCAGGTCTTTTTCTTTTCTTTTTTCAACGGCCTCAACGGCTCAAGCCCTGGGCTATCTCATAAGACCCA